GACTGCAAATCATCCAAACCCTACACACCCTAGGCACTTTGTTGTTGTTGGGAGGTAAAACAACATGACGGGGTCCCTGTTTTTGTCTCTACCTACTGTACAGACAAAAAGCAGATACATGGGTTGACGGGGCTGCAGTTTTTGTTTGTACCTTGTTGTTGCAGTTGCAGTTGCAGTTGTTGTTGTTGTTGTTGTTGTTGTTGCTGCTGCTGCTGCTGCTGCTGCTGCTGTTGTTGTTGTTGTTGTTGCTGCTGTTGTTGTTGTTGTTGTGCAAGCAGGGGTCGGAGTAGCAGGCGAGGAGCAGGAGGAACAGGAATGGGAATGTTGGTAGGAGCACGAGTGGGAGTGCCTCGTGGTTCGGAGCCGCCAGGGCGGCCCGCGCCAGGCCGTTCTGGCGGTACAAATGTACCTTCCGGTTTGGGGTGTCTAAAGGTAAGGGCGGTTGAGGGCTTATGGTGTAAGGTTTTGGAGCACACGAGACCCTCCAGGGCTTACCTTTCGCGGGCTTTTCTGAAGGGTAATTATTCCGTCCCAAGAAGCCCTCTTAGTTTAGCGGTTTTAATATGTTCTCCTTTTCGTAGTGGACCGGGGCACAGGGTTGCAAAGGACGGACTAGAGGTATGCCGGGTTTTTAAAGTTTAACGGTTTATGCGTGCATGGTGGGTCTCGGGTTTAATTGCGCTTCCAGGAAGCTCTGGGTGCTGTCTCCGGGTCTTGCGGTCCAGGCCGAGGCTCGAACTCTCGGGTTGGCGTTGGCTTCAGGTGTTTGGGCTGGGGCAGGCGGGTGATCCGAAAACATTTTGAACACCGCCAGGACCTCCGCTCTGCACTCTAGAGCCCAGACGGTGCGAGATCCGCGCTTGGACGTCAGAACTGGACGTTGGCAGCCGAGGTGCTACTTGTCCGGGGATGAAGAACCTGATGCGTCGGAGTAACGGAACGTCGAGATGGTGGGCTGAGACTTCGGAGTTTTCGAGTGCGGATAGAGCTTGGAGTTGGGCGCGGGCTTCAGCATCGCAGCAAAGCTCAATCGCAACCCTGTCCCCTCACCAAACCTGCAGCCTTGTTAGCGACAACCCTGAATTCCCAAGCAAGGACATGTCATCTTCGTCATCATCACCGCCGACAGCACCGTAAAGCCTTCATCATCACTGAAGTCCAACTGCATCCAGGCAGCTCCGTATGCTGCCGGGAACCTTCCGGCGGAGGAGGCTGGGGTCCTCGGCTCAGTTTGGACTTAGTCTTGGAGGTTTGGGGTCGGCCATGGGTTCATGAGATCAGGCCGTCTGCCATGAAAGGCGTGGTGGAAAAAATGTGTCAACAGGTTTCCCGACCTCGGGATTCGGGTTTGGGAGCGTGAGAGAACACCTTTTCGGATAGCTAGATTGCCAGAACTACACAGCAAAACTGTGTCGAACTCGCCCGCGTGCGAGTGACGTTGGCATTTGAGGTGCTGGCTCTTGTTCGCAGTGTCTACTACTATTCGGACATTGACTGAGTTGTGCGATCATGGAAAGCACGGCAGACACAGAATTCCAATATTGTGATCTGGTTACACAATCGTTTTTGTTCGTTTTGAACAAGAATATTCACGTCACATGGTGGCACTCAACTCCGAAAGAACATAAGTCTTCTTCCGCCGTTCCAAGCCACCGAGCTGAATCCCCGCAGCAGCCGGAAAGGACATCTTGTGCGAAATATCCTGGACAAGCAGGATTTGGCCTTCAGGTCTTGAGCGGTTGGAGTTCAAGCTCTGGGGTCCACGGGTTCGGAGCTTGAAGGTCTTGGGGTTACAGCGCACCGGGTCTAGCCGGTCTAGAGCTTCAAGGTAGTTCGGGTGAGCTTTCTGGTCCGTTCGAGCTCGGTTTCAGGGCTTTTATTAGCGTCTGAACCCTGAACCATGCAGAGCGAGTGTTTGCGGTCTGGAACAGCCTTTTTTTTGCTAGATGCCTAGAATAGGGGTCTGTCTTGGTCTTTAGAATGGTGTGCCAGACTTTTCATACATCGGGACTGCACAAGAAGAATGTGACCAGTTGTTGGAGCCGCGAGCTTCGAGCTAGGATCTAGTTTGGCAAGACCCGGGGCTCCGGAGGGATAACTTTGTTGATCGCTGAGGCTCTTAAACTCGAGAACAGCCAGAATCAAGAATCGGCACCCCCCAAAGCCTAAGAAAGCGGACTTCTGAGTCCAAACAGTCCAAGCTGCTGAAACCCAGAGCTCTACAAAATGCACCCCTCACTTTCACTCCTGGATCCAAGGTCCTAGAGCCCTAGAGCCTCAAACTGTAAAGTCCTACTTAAACTTAAACCTTGAAGCCCAAGTCCTAAATCTGATGTGCTGCAAAACAAACAGCCTAAATCCCACATCCCAAGCCCTGTGCCCTCTATCGTGCCTGCCAGAGGCCTCCCAAGCGATCCAGCGCTGAAGGAGCCGGTGGTGCCGGGGGCGCCGAAGGCTGTTCGAAGCGAGGGATGGGTGTACGCTTGGCTTCAGTTTCGATAGCGATAGGGAACTTTGGCTTGGGTGTTTCGACGTTTGGAGGCTGTAGCCCTGAAAGCGGGGATTCGTCTGGCTTGGTTCGTCCAGGAGCCGCGAAGCTGAGCTTGAACTTCAAGCCCATGCTACACGATCTGCCAACCTCCAGGCATGTCGCAACCATTGTCGCTTCTGCATCGATCTCGCATACTCCAAAAGCCCCTAGACCCACTCTGCTCTGCCGAACTCAAGGTTCCCAGCGTTAAGGATGTGTGTAGAAACTGGAAACAACAACAACAACAACAACAACAACAACAACAACAACATCAACAAAAGCCAACTTGTTGTGTTTATCCTCCAGGCTCCATACTTAGTGCAAACTGGTCAGCAGTTCTGGCATGAGGCCTGCTCCACCTCCATGTCTTCCGGACCAGGCTCATCCGCCACCTCGCAGTCACGAGGCACGAGGCTAGGGACGAACCATCTGCTTGGGGTCTCGTGCTGAGGCATGCACTTGGCTACTGTACGTGGCTTTGTAGGGTTGCTTGGGTTGTGGTCTACTGATAGTACTGTCTCCACCCATGAAACATGCGGGATGCACCGACTGCATACGTGCAACATCTGCATGTACAGAAGTATGACCATGAACAGCCAAAATCTACTGCAGCTACATATAAGAGCATGTACGTGTATACTCAGCTGCACTGCGGTTTACAGGACACAGTCGAGTCCCGTGCCAAACTGCTTCACACCAAAACCACTGCAGATAAACATTGACAGGTGGACATGTTCAACGGTGCTGTACAATACCGCACATCAGGACCTGCACAATCAAGCTGGTTTTTGTTGCGGTCGCACAGGATGTGTTCATGTTTGGGAACCCGAGGAGGCTACTAGTTAAAACTGCAAAAGCTCAGATCGGGCATTGAGGGCTTCTGGCTTGCTTTTGAGAGTCCTAGGCTTCGGGTTTCAACTTCAGACTTCGCCTGAATCCTGAACAACAGCTGATGAGGGATCACCACAGGAATAGGAGAACCTAATGCCAACCGTCACCCAAAGAAAAACCCTAGACCCTAAAGGCCCCGCAAACAGAAAGTCGCATCGCACACTGCAGCACCTCCTCGGCCGTGGCCCTGAGCATGGCGCCTTCCGAAACTCCAAAGGCCCGCTTAAAAACAGCTGACACAAGGCTTCACAGGACCACGTGGTCTAGTGGCCTGAATACTTGGACTCGGGTTTGGATGATTCTATCGCAAAATCAACGACCTGAAAGAATGAAGCTTTTGGGGCTTCGAAGCTAGCTTCTACTTGCAACTCTAACAGAAAGTACGGACCCGTGCGGCCGTACACGTTGCTCTCGTTCAGGCTGGGGGGCCGAACTACATGCAGCACTCTGATAAGAAGCCTGAACCTACATCCTCGAACTGCCCCTCCTAACAAGGGTGCCGGGGTGCCGTTTAGGTCGCCACCCTCGGCTCGCAGCGCGCGCTGCGCGCGAGCGCGCTCCACGCCGGCCTCCCCGCAGCAAAAGGTCCGGAAACCTAATCCCGAAGCCCTCGGATCGAACCTTGAACGCCAAGGTACAAACCTCAAACCCTATTTTGAGCCCCATACAAAACCCATAAAATCCTTTGAGGTGTCCAGGCCGGACTCATCAAGAAGGGCTTTGGCTTTACAAGGGTTGAAGAGGATCTGGTCGGGTGCGCATTGAAGTCAAAGGGTTCTAGAACTTCTGCAAGATTTGTGACAAAGCTCTCGGAGTACAGAATGATAGGCCTATGCTTGGTATACATGTGACGCGTCTGCACATCTTTGATTCTTCGCTCTAAAAACCCCGAAGCCTCCGAATGCTAACCGCTCTGGGCCAAAGCCAGGAGCAGACCCGGAGAAAACTGGCCTCCATGAGCATCATCAGCTTCTGCTCATCGTCCTGTTTTGGGGCACTTGCTGGGTTTGGGTCTCTTGGGGCTTCCGGACGTCTCTAGAAAGGTTCGATGAGGTTTCTCTACGGGTTTCGGCGCTCGGGTTTCGGATTTCGTGGAAAGGGCTGGGGAGATGGCATCGTTCACTAAGCTACAGCTACAGACGGAGTAGATGGGCTTTCGGCTTGGGACCTCCAGAAAAAGAAGTTTGGGACAACTAGTGTTTTTCACTGTCCACGCAGTTGAGAGGCACCTTCGACTCTACGATTTGCAGATCTGGACGGGAAGCTCCTGAACTGGTCCAGCATCGCCGCTGGAGCCTGCTGCCACCTTCGGAGGCTGTGTGCTGAGATTTTGCTGAAGTGCTCAGGAGGCTTGTTCTTCTCATCGAACCTCTCCTGAGCTTGGCTCGGAGGACTTTCTCAGCCAGGAAAGCTTTGTAAGGGCTCTTAGCTCTTACAGTACTGGGTTCTTCCCAGGTTCCCTTCACCTTCAAGCCAATCTGAGAGGAGCTTCGGATGCTGCAAGACCTACCCAGACCCCGAACCCAAACCCTAGGAGGCCCCTACAGGTGGGGACTTCAAGGAGGGCTTCAGTTCAGGGCCTCTCCCGAGTCTGCCGCAGAGGGCCCTCCACGGCGCCGGAGCTCCACCACGCGCTCCAGGTCCTCGTCAGCGGGAGGCCGCAAGGCTCCATGGGAATAGATTAGATATAGACGAGCTTAGCTTGAAGTAGATTAGAGAGTTTATGGGGCTCTTTCTGCTCTTGGTTTTCAAGTTGCTTCGGGATATTTGGGCAGGGTCTCATGATGCCTTGGGGATTTGTTGGCTCCCGAGCTGCAAGCTGAACATAGGTCTCGCGATGCTTCTAGGTTTAGGGAACAGCGTACCTCATACGAGGTCGCGCTCGGGCGTGGAACGCCGCCGAAAAAAAAAAAAGAAGTCCCCGAAAGACGAAATATCGCTTGCTACATAATAAACAAGTTTTGATTTCTTCTTGGGTTGTCCCGTTGGTCAGGAACGACCCCGGAGGCGATGGCAGAAAGAGGTTCTGCAAGGGCGTGAGTGCCGGGGACGTCTCACACCTCTGGTGGCTTGGATGGCAAAGGCTCAAGGCTTTTATAGTTGTATGCTGGCTATGATTCAGGTGGTCTGGATACCGCCGTAGCTCAAATAATCAAGCCCAATATTGTGGGCCCGTCCTGGACAGAGCGAAGCGGCTGAACCCTCACCTCTGCGTTTCTTTTTTTGCACGGGCACTCGGCCTGCTAAGCCTTGGAGGGAAGGTCGCAGGTGTCTGGAGCTTTGGTAGATTCCTTTAGGCTGAAGGTTCGTAGCAGCACGAGGTGCAACCCACGGCGAGTCCTTGACTGCTTGCCAGTCCTCCTTCATCCAGGCCTTCGCGCACAACACCGGCTTCTGGCTTTAGGGCCAAGTTTAAGGTTTACGAAGCCCATGAAAACCACTGAACTCCTAGATGGTGGGATTTACACTTTCGGCGCATGCGACGTCGACCCTTAAGGCCCCACTCTGTCATGTTCGGGTTTGGGGCTCGACAAGCTTACATTTATTACCCTTCGCTTTGTTGCCTGGGCTTTCGCCTAAACCGCAAAGCATCCGGTAATTGGCCTTGGTCTTTGCCACCTGGCCGGGACAGAGGACGCTGTCAACCAGCTCCTGGCACAGATGTTTGTGCTCCATGATCCCTGCCGGTACTACTCCTTGCATCAGTACTCTTGGACATGCACCCTCCAACAAAGCTCGATGACGACAACGTGGGAGAAGGTGTTGGTCTTACTCATGGGGGCATGAGAGCATGCCTGAACGGAGCGGACACTGAGGCGAGGAACGATGTCATCGCGGTTAACGACCTGAGGCTGTTTCACGGTGCCCAAGCCCAGCCGAAGCCGAAGCCGAAGCTTGCGGCGTTGCGGATTTCATGGCCGAGTCTAGGCTTTGGCGGCTGAACTCTGAAAACTAAAGCCCTAAACCATGCAACACTGATTCTCAAGTCTGTGCAACCCAAAACCCTCGCTCCCCATCCCCTCGACTCTAAAACCCCAAATCCCGAGATCGACTTCAGCAGTCTGACCGTTGCAGCAGAGCAACGGAGACCATGCAGGTGAGAAGGCTGGGCAGAAGCCTCGATCGCCAAGCAGACTCGGGGCTCTGAGAGTTTTCGGCTCCTTGGGATTCTGACAGCCGGGAGCTCAAACAGCTTGGCCCCAAAGATGCCTGGGGCCCAGAGCCTCCGCTCCTCTGGCCTCCCCCCTCCCCCCCCACCGGTGTGTGTTTCTTCGAGCCCTCGCCTTAGGCCTTAGGGCTTCAGCCGTGCGGCGCTTCGTCCACGCAGGCAGGAGTGCCGAAGCCGTAGCAAACTCGGAGGGGGCATGGAATCAGGCAACTTGACTTCTGCGCTTCGCATCTGCAAAGAATACTCAACCCAAGACTGAAAAACGTCTTACACTCAAAGATCAAGCCTCGAATCACTCTACAAACGGAACATAAGGAGGGCTTCAACGTTGAGAAGGCTGCAATGGTTCTACGGCGCATCTGACGGGAATCCTGTTGTAGGTTCAGAAATCAGGCGGCTCAGGTCCAGGACTTCAGCTACTGAGACCTGGAATCCAAGTAGGGGCGTGAAGCCATCGCACCTCAAACAGCGTGCTCTCAACGCAGCGAGGAGCAGATGGGTGAGATGTGTGGTCGGAGCATCCTCAGATGAAGCTGGTTTGTGGTCGTTGTGGGTTTCGACTTTGCTGCTGGAAAACGGGTCACTGGGCGACCGGAGGGTCTGATTGCAACCGACGGGGTACAACTAACGATTTACAGATCAACGATTTGCGCACCCGCAAGCAGCGAGGATGCCAGGAGGTTTGCAAATACTGCTCGAACTTGGAGGATACCCTGAACTTGCACTTCGGGTTGCACGGGGTGGTATATCTAGTTGACCTCTCTCTTGGTGGACTGTCCCCCATACCCAGATCTGCCAAGTAGAGTTTAGGGTTTGCAACATGGGACCGGGGTACCGTTGCTAGTAGCATGGAGCTGCACGAGTCAAGCGACCAAAAACAGATCTAATGATTCTGCAATTCCTACACCACCTCCAATCTCTTCAGCACAGAGAATGCAGAAGGCTCCGTAAACACTGGCTGCAACAGCTCCTTGACACAGACCTAGATGAGAGAAGGCCAGGACCCAACATCAAGTACCAAGGCAATGCTCACTGCCACCTCGCTGCAGCGTCAGCAGCGCGCCGACGCCGGCTCCCAGAGAGTGACCGACGACCGTGACTCTGTAGCCTCTGCAAACCCAAGCAGACCCAGGTTGAACCAAGGTTGTTGGCCAGTGCTCCAGAATCCACATCTAGACTGTCGCAACTTCCGTGATCAGAGAGCTAATCACTCCCCTAGAACATCGTGGTCTTGGATGACCATGTACTGTTGAGAACCCACTGGCCCATTTGACCCTGTACCGTGCCCAGCCTTTTTCTCATACGATGGATGCCACTGCCGGGTAGCTGTACAAGTGCAGCACAGCTGCATCCTGAACCAATTATCGTCCTTACGCCGTCTATACACACGTAGCCCAGGCAATCGCCTCAAAAGGTGCAGCTGTACAAGTTGGCACCTGCCGGTGCGCCTCTTCAGGCGCTAATGTTGCGGTCTGCTGCCTCTTTTGTGTGCTGGACTCACCCCCCTTCGAGGGTTAATCCTCTTCTGAACGGTTCAAAAACTTTTTGAACAATGCGAGGCCTTGCTCTAGGCGTCCCCTACTCATGTCAAGAAGCCGTGGCACAATGCAGGTGTGGCCATCGAGAGGGAGGTCCCCGGTGTCGACGCAGGCATATCTGGCCATTTCTT